TGTCTCTCTCTCTCTCTCTCTCTCTCTCTCTCTCTCTCTCTCTCTCTCTCTTGAATAATCATCATCATCATCATCATCATCATCATCATCATTAGCCCGGCTCTTGTCCTTTTTGGGGGGGGGGCGACTTGATGATGACGATAATCATAACAAGAACATAACAAAAACATCCCTCCATCCGCCGCGGAAACAATTCTAGTAATTATTTCCGGCTCGGGCTCGGGCTCGGGCTTGGGCTTGGGCTTGTTGGGCTTGGGCTTTGGCTTTGGCGGCGGGGCTCATTCGGTCTTCGGTCTTGGGTGCGCGTGAGTGAGTGAGTGAGTGAGCGGGTCGGACGGGTTCAGAGTGCCGAGGTTTTGGGGTTCGTTTTTGCGTACGGAGGAGGAGGAGGAGAAGGAGGAGGAAGAGGATCGCTACCTTGTGCGTGCGTGCGTGCGTGCGTGCGTGCGTGCACGCACGCGTTGTATGTACTACTACTACTACGTCCCAGGCCTAAGTATTTATTACCCCTCGAGGGTAGGGTACCCAGGGGGTTTTAAAATGGAAACTAAACTTTTGAGGCGCCCTCGAGGGGTGATACGTAGGCCTGTAACCGTGGGTAGGTGCCGGTGTTCTTACTCGCTGTATGGAGATGTATCGGGAGGGTAGGTATTTCGCTGGGTAGTTAGCTGCGCGGTGTCTGGTTTGTTGTCTTTGGTTCTTTTCTCTTTCTCTTTAATTATATATGTATATATATATATATAAATTTAAATAAAAAATTTTTCTTTCTTTATTTTTTCTTTATTTTTTCTTTTTTCTTTATTTTTTCTTTTTAATTTTTTCTTTTATTTTTTCTTTTATTTTTTCTTTATTTTTTCTTTTATTTTTTCTTTATTTTTTCTTTATTTTTTCTTTATTTTATTTTATTGATTTTTTCTTTATTTTACTTTATTCATTTTTTCTTTATTTTTTCTTCATTATTTCTTCATTTTTTTTTACCCGGGAAATGGCTTCCGAGGATGACGTTGGGTGGGTGGGGTTTGCTGGTGTGGAAGGAAGTGGTTTCTACTTCGAGGTGCCCGTGGCTTTTTCCTCTTATTGGCAGCGAGTAGCTAGCAGCTAGCAGCTAGCAGCTAGCAGCTAGCAGCTAGATTAGTTAGCTAGCGTAGCTTAGCTCAGCTGATGAGTATCCAGGTACTTAACTGGGAGTGGGAGGGTGGGCTTGCTGTGCTCTCCTTTCACGCATGTCGATTGTTGTTTTGCTATGGATTCGGGTAGACCAAATGGGAAAATGGGAAAATTCCATATCGTATGATGGATTCTATCGTCTTCAAGAACACGACGGTTGGGTTGAAAGAGGGATCTTGGGAGTGACGAGGTGAGTTCTCTTGGGTGGTAGGATGGAGAACGTGTTGAGAAAGAAGGAGCTATGCTTAGCTAGGCTAAGCGAATGACGAAGTCGACCGAAGCAGCAATAATGCTCTGAAAGTGATAGATAGTACACTTCCACTGAGGGCTCGAACGAACGAGAACCCACGTATGTCATCGCACAGTTCAATTTCATATACATACTATATCCCCAAAAAAAAGAAAAACCGCTTTCACCCTCTTCTCGTTCCCGATTCTTTTGATCAAGCTGGTAGTGATAGTATCAACAAACTCGAATTTCCTTCCCAGGTCCAACATCAGTCACAATGCCAAGGTTCTCGTTCAGACTCTGGAAGAGCCAGAAGGCTCAAGCACACGAGGAGGATGAGGAGGATACTTCTGATGAGGAGTGCAAGCATTTCGAGTGTGAGGCCGAGCCAGAAGGAGACGACCGACCTCGTAGTTGCACACCAGACGACCCGGGAGCTCCTCAAATCCAATCTGCCCACCCTGCCCAACCGGCCCAACCGGCAAACCAACACGACCGCAGACCCTCACGACAACCTTCCACGTCTCGACTTCGACCTCAACCTCAACCTCAGACCCAGAAGCCCGCCCAACACCGCTTCCCCAAACACACCCAGGAATTCGTCCGCGCCCTCAACAAGTCCATCAAGAAAACGAAGGCCCGGGACCGGGCTATGCTGATCGAGGTGTATACCAAGTTCCTGCAGCAGGTCCCGCTGGAACACCCGGCCATCGATGACCCGGCGCTCTTCCTAGAGCTCGCTCGTGACTATTTCCAACACGGGGCAAAGACGGACCGGAAGGTCGTCGTCTGCGTGGTGGATCCCATGTGTCCGCCATGCGGCGTCCCGAGCGGCCCGCAGTTCGACCACCAGGTCAAAGTGTCGACGAGCGAGTTCGAGCTGCTGCGCTCGTACAGGCAGCATCGGCGAGAGGCCGCGTGCGAGTGTGGGCTGGAGCTGCAGAAGAAGTGGCCGGGGTTGTCGATGACGGATAAGAGGCATCGTGTGTTGCGGGACATGGAGGTTGCGGAGAGGATCGCGGAGGAGCAGGAGAAGTGTGCTTTGATGGGTGAGAGGGCGGTGGCGCCGAACAAAGCGAGAGTGGATGGAGGCGGCAAGGAGAGAATTGTGAGGGAGAGGCCGACGATGAGCGAGTGGAAAGAGCAGCAGGAGAGGAACAGGGTAGAGGAGGAGGAGAAGATGAGGGCTCGGACGATGAGAGAGAATGCGGCCAGGAAGGTCAGAGAAGAAGCGTGGAGGAGGGAGAAGTTGGAAAAGCAGAGGGCGGCGGAAGCGAGTTCAAGCCAAGCGAGGATCCCTCCTCACCAGGGGCAAGCCGAGGCCGGAGGAGACGAAAAGCCAGCAGAGATCGACGAGCAGATCGAAGGGAACCTCAGAGAAAGTCCTCGAGGCTGCCTCAAGCCTGGCAACGCCACCTCTCCAAAGCAGGAGAAGAGCGTCCGCCTCAATGATGGTATCTCGGAGCACATTATCGCGCCCACAACAAGCATAACCTCGATCCCGCGAAGTCCAAGCCGGTGACCGACACCCTTTCTTCCCACCGCTCCGCGCCGGCAAAGCGCCTAAGCAAGAAAAAAGAAAAGGAGAACGAAAGCGAAGAAAAAAAAAACAAAAAAACAGAAAAAAAAAAAAAAAAAAGCGAAAGCAGGAAAGGGAAAACCGGAGAACGAGTCCGAAGCCCTACCAGCTTCGTGGAGCGGCAGCGTGCGGAACAGGATCGTTCAGAAGAGCAGAAGCGGCAACCCCGCAAGCCCAAAGCGGAGATCCACCTGGGTGGGAAGGGCTCGAGATTCACGGACCAGCGGAGCATGCGGAGCGCGTAGAGAGGAGAACAAGTCGTTGAGGTACCTAGGTAGAATTGAATAGATAGATGGAGGTCCAAGTCTTGGGCTGAAGTGAAAATAGTCTTATATAGATTGTTCTTAATGCAGCCGAGCCGAGCCGAGCCGAACCGGGCCAAATCCTTTTCTTTAGGTTTTGCCGTGGCGGGAGTTTTTTTGGGGGGGGGGGTTTTGGCCGAGATTGCAGTAAACTAGGTATCCAATACCCATGATTCTTTCTGCAGCAGTAGGGTAGTTACCCATCTCACACATTCCTCTCCTCTCAGTAGCGAGTACTCTTTGAAAAGTCGAGTGCTGTTTGAAAGATTTTGCGGTTTTTCCAATGATAGGGCCAAGGGACCTCGATCGGGGCGAAGCGAGGTGAGGTCCCCGCCGGCAAAGATCAGAAAAAGAAGGGTAGTAGGGGGGAGGGGGAGAAAAAGTACGTAGTATATCCTACCTATACACCGTCACAGGCGTGCGCGCTACACCTTGTTGTTGTTATTGTAGTAGTATTTATTGACGTCGGGCGGGTCTCTAAAACGCAGTGCTTGGACCCTAGGGACCTTCTATGGGGGACGGCGACGTGCTAAGTAGTAAGTAGGTAGAGGAATTACTATCACGTGCGATCTCATCGAAAGGACAAACCACGTTGAAGAAAAGCTTTCGTGGAAATAGGTAGCTAAATGGTATGTAAACCTTTTAAAAGCAATTCATAGCGCTGCGCGTCGAGTTTTCTTTCGTCGTAAAGCTGTAAAGGCTTGCGTTCGTAGCCTTTAGATGAAGCCGATGTGTTTGCAAAACGCTCGCTCTTTTCGAAGGCGCAATACCGTGTTTTCAATCAGTCGAGTTGAGCCCTTTTTATATCGTCTCTTACACCCGCTCTCTTGCTATCGCAAATCTTCTTAGTCTTTTCCATCGGTATGCGCGTCGAGTATCAATCGTAGCCGGCGTGGTGTTCGAGAACAAGGAAAAAAAGGAGGTTCGGAACGGCCGGTAAAAGAAGATCTCTTTGAAGAAGCGTCGCATGTCGATGATTCATTCCATTTTCGGCTCTTTAGATTCTTTGTCTCTCTCTTTTACTGCAGGAGAAAGAGAGAAATGCGGGAAAGAGGGAAAGAGAGCTGAAGGTTCGAAAGAGGCACTTCGTACAGGTAAAGAATCGTAGCCCCCTATTGTTGTTCTACCTTAAGGGTACGAAAAAGGGGTTTTTAACGAAGGCAAATCGGGTTTTCGAAGGGGTGGAGGTATTACGTAAATAGGAGAAGCGTCTCATTACCGAGTAGATCTGAAATGTAATAGTAGCAGAAGTGTATCGAGCAGATGGGAATTCTAATCGGCGGGTATTTCAACTGCTGCTCTTTCCTACCTTATTTTTTTTATATAGAAAATTTTCTTCTTTCGATCGAGAAAAATGGGATTGTTGCTTTAATTAGAACTGTGAAACAGCTTGGCTTAACCGTATTCACGGCGCAAGGGTGAGACACGGCTTGGTAGAATGAAAGCTTGTAAAAATAGTAAGACGCTACCTTTAAGCTGTAACACTTAGGCTTGTACCGTGATACGATCGTAATTACCACGGTACAGGCCTAAGTATTACCCCTCGAGGATAGGGTAACCAAGGGCTATAAAGTGGAAACTGAACTTTTGAGGCACCCTCGAGGGGTAATACTTAGGCCTGTACCGTGGTATTTGCGGCGAAGCGGAGTCATACAACGTTGCAAGCGTAAGTACCTACAAGTATTACATCCTGAGGGTAGGGTAACCAAGGGTTTTAAAGTGAAGATTTAAACTTTTGAAGCACCCTCTGGCTGCAGGAATTTGGAGGGGGGAGTGGTAGTCTGTTTGAAGTTTATAGTTGTAATATTTATAGATGCGAAACCAGCATTTGAAAAGTACTTATATACTTCTAGAGTCGCGCGGATCATTTGTTCATTAGCTTTACGGTCCGGTACCATCTTCTCTGCCGCTATCTACCTCTCGAAGCAATAACCCTTCTTCTACTACTCTATCAACATGCGATTTATCAACGGTTTCTTCGCTGCAACTACATTTGCAATCGCGATTGCAGAAGTAATTAGTCCTAACCGCCAAGGAGTTCTTTCAGTTTGCAAAGATCCGGGCTTTAGTCAATGCACTAACGTCACTTACGTACAAGATGCCTGCAGTAAGATATTTTTTATTCTTTCTACTTCACCTCTTAAAGTGTCTACAAGCTTATAAATATAAATAGCGGGACTTATCGCTCTTGGATTGTCTTTTTCTATGACCGGTTTCGATACCTTCAACTACGGATGCGAGTTTTACACGTAAGCAAATTACTATTTCCCGGTTTTTTTTTTTTTTTTTTTTTTTTTAAAAAAAAAAAGAAAGAAAAAAATTATATAATTTCAAATAACTAATTACGATTAGAAATGACGCATGCTTAACTAACCATCTTTACTTCGCTTATCGAGGCAAAATTTCCGATCTTTTAGAGACCGAGTATCGCTCTTCCAATGATAATATTGCTGGGTTCCGTTGCGGAACGTAGAACGTCAGGATTTATCGCGATATCGAAATACAGAAATGCGATATCGAAAGATACCCAAAGATGAATAGCGAAAGAAAGTCGTTCTATCATCATTGATAAAATCAGTTTAAACCGGATGTTTTTTATCGCTAAAGCAATCACAACTCTGCTAGATAGCTCCGTATCTGTATAAAATTCCCTTGTAAACAAACCAACTGCCGCAAGTGATTTTGAAAAGGCAATCTGCGAGTTTGCTTCGACGACGTCAAAAAGAAAACCTTTATACGCTAGAAGATACTGTAAACGGGCTTACCGGCCGACCGACCGCTAATCAAATCTCGGATTTGGTTATTTTATAAAGATATCACTAATTCTTTTCCTTTTCTATAAACTTTAATAGCGGCGGTGATAATAGCGGGCCTTCCGTTGTCCGGCGTTTTTTTTTAAAAAAAAAGGAAAGGAAAGAGGAGTGGAAGGATGGTTAGGCGGATTTGCATCAAAGGAGAAGATATAAGTATATATTGAGAAAAGATTGGATGGCTGTTTGTTTAAAAGGGGGTGGGAAGGGGCGAGATAAAGGGATAGGTATATGGATATGTATATGTGTAGGTAGGCAGGTATAGTTTGAGTACGTACGCATGTAACCCGGCATTTCTATACATGAGTCTATCGTCAGCATGTATTTCTTGCTTTCCTCTCCTTTCCTCTCCTTTCCTCTCCTTTCTACTCCTTTCTACTCCTCTCGGATAATGTATTGACTTGGAGAGGATCAAAGGGAAGGGAAACAGAGTAACATACCGTGCATCTTCTCCTTGTCATCATCACATCCTTTACACATCACATCCTTTACACAACCCATCCTCCACACAACCCATCCTTATATCTGTTGGGCTAAGGATATATAATCAGCTTCTAGTTTTCGAACTTGGGATGATGGCGAGGAGAGATTCGAGGAAGCGGTGATTGGGGGGGGGGGGGGGACTTACGCCACATAGGTTCGTAAAGAAACCGAAAGATTAATCCGAGGCCTATTCATTTCATTTCAATTTTCGCTAGCACAGTATCGATGACATTTTGTTTATTTTATATTCATTTTAGTTTGAATTTTGGAATTTTGGAATTGGGAAGTGGGAATTGGGATTGAAAAGAGTCAAGGGTGAGGGAGGAGGTATGAGGATTTGAATTTTGGAAGAAAGGGGGAGAGGGCTGGTCTTGTTTGAATTTAATTTTGAATTCGAATTCGAAATGAATGGAATATTATTTCCCGTATGCGATAAGCGCTCGCATGTCTCTGTTACAGGGACGTTTGTAGGGAAGGGATTTGGCAGTTGCGTATTGGCGAAGACGCAGGCTGGGAAGATGGCCATGGTCGTTGCGAGCGTAAGGGTGGAGAAGGCGAGCTTCCATAGATTTTTTTTTCCCTTTCCCTTTCCTCGGATCGGTAATTGATGGGGTCTAAAGCGAATGAAGTTATGAAGTTGAGCAATAGCTGAATATGATTACCGATTTGTATGTATATTATAGCTCTTGACTTGTTTACTTACTTACTGTTAAGATATGGATTGTGATGAGATACTTGCTTACTTACCTATCTACTCACGCGGCCAGTATTTAAATATGTTCCCACGCGTTGATCTTTTTCAAACTGGGGAAAAGAAAGGGCTTGCAATGCTCTCTCTGTAATGGTTGGTTGGCTACGCCCAATTTTTAGTAGAAGTATATATGACTCCTCCGTAGGTATATTTGGGATGATTTGCGACAGATGAAACATTACCGAGGTAGGTACTTCTTACTGGCCCGCACGAGTAGCGACCTAGGTATACCTTAAAGGCAGGGGGCTATTTAAACCGTCAGCTGAGAATCCGATGACGGTCTCTTTAAAAGACGGTCTTGAGAGGTTGGCATAATTAGTAGAACACCCTAGGCCGATACTTAAGATTAAATAGAACTTGAAAACAAACGATTTACATGATTTAAATCTTAGCTCAAATGTATCTATTTTAATCATTTAAACCGTCTTTTATACTGTAAAAGCTCGTCTTTCCGTCAAATGACCGCCCTCGTTCGTTTTAAGACCAATTTGAGACCGTCCTATAGCCATCCTAAGGCCGTCCCGAACCGTCCCCGATAACTTAGATTAGGAAGCAAATATTTTGGCCCTTGGCCTCGATCTCCTCTTTACTACCCCTCACCTCCTTTCAGCTACCGCCGTCGCTTGTATGCGTATTCATTCGCGAATACGAGGTAATCTTTTGTTGAATCAATCGATTCCGATTTTAAATCATTTCAAGCGTTGATATATAAGCTATAGCAGCGATACCGAGAAACATCTTAGGATCGATTTTATTAAAGTATTATCAAAACGATACTATTAAGAAAAGAGTATTTATAATCTAATTATATTTTACTGAGAACGGGTATTAGATTATCTTAAGTATTCAAAGCGAATTCTTTAATAAACGGAATTTAAAAGCCTGGACGAGGATGGCTACAAGACGGCCATAAGATGGTCCTAAGCTCGGGGACGGTTAGAAAAAGCGAACTACTCCTGATTTATAACTAGTATTGATTTTAAACGGTCCAATACCCGTTTTTATATAAGGGGGTCAGAGGATCGCTCAAACGACCCCCTGCCTTTAAGGTAGGATCAATGATTTCTACGGAGGGACTTTGACGGAGTAAGCGTCGGATTCGCCTCCCCCGCACTTACCCCTCACCTGCAACAACCCCCCAAACCCCCTATAGTACCGGTACCCAGAAGTAGCATCTATTAACGTCGGGCCGGGTAGGTATCCACAACGCAATCCTTAGACCTTAGGACTACCGGTAGTCATAAGGTACGGCGACGTACTAAGTACCGGTAATAGAATTACCCCCAAAAAATACTATCCAATCGAGGGTGAAAGCCATGTGAAAGAAGAGCTCTCTTTCAAACAGCGCCTCGGGTTTTTAATCCCGCGGTATTGGCAAACTCTTTAGGAAACCTTTAAAAGCATTTAAAAAGTGAAAAATTATGATAAAACTTATCTCTCGATGAATGTCGAGTACGCGTGACTTTACAAGCGGCCTCTGTTCGTACAAATATAAACATCGTCCTCTTTATTACCGATATCGTAAAGCTTTAAAGGCTCGAGCTCGAAGCCTTTATGTAAGAGTCGGTGTATCGGGTTGCCAAGCGCTCTTGGCGAAGAAGGCGGAATACCGCGTTTTCGATTAGTCGAATTAAGCCCGTCTGATCCCATCTCTTACGCCCGTTCCCCTTTTTTCATCGCAAATCCTCTTGGTCTTTTCAGTCGGTATGCCCGTCAAGTACCGGTAGATATAGATCGTGATCGGCGTGGTGGTCGAGATAAGAAGGAGGCCCGAAACCGCCGGTCAAGGAAAATCTCTGCGAAGGGTCGCCACATGCCGATAATTCTGTTGGCGTCTTTTACGGAGTAGACTCTCTGCCGCAGGAGAGAGAGCTGAGGGTTCGTAAGGGGCAGCTCGCATAGGTAGGTAAAAAATCGTAGCCTCCTCCCCACCCCCCACGTAGTAGTTGGTGCATTGTAAATGTGTATCGTTTAGATTTATACTTGTCGCTTAACATAAGCTTATCGATCGATCATCCATCGTAACGATTGAGTTGTAGTACGGGGGGTGGGGGGGGGTGGCGCGTCTTGTTAGCATGAATAAGTTTTTTCCCGCCGAATATTGTTACAGATTTTATCAATTTAGCTAGATATCTTGCGCAAATTCAACACGTTTAGGACGATTGTCACGGTATTCTAGATCAAGGTCATGGATTGGAGATAGGTCTAAACTACCCCAGCCCCAGCATTGGCATTCCTTGGCCGAACTGCTCGGTCATTCTCCGTATCCCCTCACAAAAAATCAAAATCTAACGAACAAACACAAATTTTGGTTGAGTAATCGCAGCTCTCACATTTTAGCATTGATTTGTGATTGGTGATGCGGATTTCAGAACTTTTTCGGTACGGAAAAAAATCCCTTTCAGATACTACTTAGGCACATCAGGAGAGTCGGATCTTGCTTGTATTGATAGGGCTACGTAAGCGAGAAATATAATCCAGACGACAAATACTCCGGTATAATTTTAGGGGCTCGCAGGTTTCCAGAAAGCGCATTGACTACACGTTACATCATATTACGCTATTTTGTGATTCTGTAACGCTCGCCACTGTAAACCACCAGGAAGAGGCCTTTTCTCGGTCAGTACGGAGTTGTACTCGGTTTTTCCAAGAAGTCTGAATCCCGGGAAGAGAAGCGGAGTTATCTTGGCAGTTCAGCTCTGTCGAACTGACCCATCTCTTTCCGAGGTTCAGACTTCTGTAAAAACCGAGGAGAAAGAGAACAGAAGAAAAAGAACTCAGTTCCAGTATCTAATAATAGTCGGTGTGTTGTCGTCCTGATTAATTCATGATTCGCGTTTCAGTTCGCGTCACCCGGTTTTAGAGATACGTGTTTTAGACTGCGGCACCTTCCCTATCAGGCGGATTGTACTACTACTACCACCACCTCTGAAGCAATGCCGTGCTTGTACTTCAAAGTCCGGTATACTTAGTACGATCTACAACTGGTCTTGTTGAAGTTTCCTAGAGCTTTGGATTTGACTTTCATCACATTTGCAAACGCCGCCGCCAAAGCCAATGCATTAGTTGAATTTCGAGACTCTATCTTTGTCACCTTCTAGAAGTCTGGGAATTCTTATTCTTAGTAGCATGTAAAAATACATTATCATTACCATCTCTCAGACATATCAAAGGTTTGGCATGCACAATAATTCCGTACGTACTAGTAATACGAACAAGAACACGCGCGCCGGTTTGGCTATTGTCGTATAGGCCAAGCCTAGAAAGAAAGGCCTCGATTTGTGTATCCCATTCCCAACGCGTTCGGCTGGTCAATTTTCTTATATATATAGAGAGAGAGAGTGACGCCAGTATATCCCACCCACCCGTTCGCCCCCGCAAAAAAGGCTATGTATGTGTACACAGAGCCAAGCAACTAGAGCAACCCGCGCCTTCTCAAGAAAAAGTCTATTCTATTCTATTCCCATTCCCCCCTCATAAAATCCCCCTTCTCAAGGATCTTATCCTGGCACTCGACAAAGAAGCGCGCCTGCCGTCCCACCTCCTCCAGCCGGGACAGCACGCGCCCGTTGCACTCCTGGAAGCCGTAGATCTCGTACTTGATACCCACGCTCTTGGACCAGGCCTTGACCTCCTGGCTCGCCTGGCGCAGGTTGTGCCGGGGCAGCGAGGGGAAGAGGTGGTGCACGGCCTGGAACTGAAGGCCGCCGTGGAACCAGTCCATCCAGGCCGGGCAGTCGACGTCCATGGTGGTGCGCAGCTGCTGCATGGCCCAGGGCTCGTTAGGGCCCGGCGTGACGGTGCCCATGGCGAAGTGCGAGAGCGTGAACTGCACGTGCAGCGGCATCGTCACGCAGTGCGAGACGAGCACGAAGGCGACACGGAGGGTCCAGGTTGGGATGCTGCAGTACACGAGGAGGTAGCCGAACCAGTACCAGAAGAAGGCCTGGCCGACGAGCTCGTAGAAGCGGTGCCACCGGTTGCACTTGGGGCCGAGGTCCATGACGAGGAATTCCAAGGACAGGGCGTACAGGTTGAAGCGTCCAAAGCAGAGGAGCGGGTAGTACATGTATTTTTGGTAGGGGACCATGGTCTGCGCGAACTTGTCGAAGGGCAGGATGCGGTCAAAGTGGGTCGAGTAGAGGGACTGGAACAGAGCGGGGGAGATGGCCATGAATGGGAGATGCTCGATATCCGGGTCGTGGGCGGGGTCGTTGCAGACGATGTGGTGGATGTTGTGGGCACGCTTCCACCATCCGAGGGAGAGACCACCCAGGTAGTTTCCGAGCGTCATTCCAATCATTGAATCCCAGTGGAGATCGTGCGTGATACTTCGGTGGCCTGCGTCGTGGGCAGTAAATACGAGCTGATGCCAGAAGCAGCCCATGAAGACGGCTGAGGTCAGATACCAGCCAGATCGCAGGAACAGGAGCATGATGGTGAAATTTAGTGCGACTCGGAACGCATCCCCAGCGTAAGCCCAGTAGGGTGTCTCGTAAAGACCTCGTCCTTCAAGCTTGGCTACAAGCTCGCGGAATGAATCTGTTATCTCGGCCAGAGTCTTCTGGTCGGAAGACTCCTCAGCGCCGTTTCCCTCTTTTTCATCTTCGGCGTCAGAAACATCGGCCGACGACAGAGATGTCCTGGAAGATGCAAAGCTCGCATGGCTCCTGTACCGAGAGAGTAGGGAGTCGTCGAAGACGCTCGCGCCAGAGGACGAAGCCGAGTCACTACTCGAATCATCCTGGATAAGGAATTCGGGGAGCTCGCCCGTGGTGGTCCTATGTTGTGCGTCCCTGATAGCTCTCTCGTTCGCGTGCTTCACCTCCTTCGCAACCTGCTCTCTCTGGATGGGAGGAGTGACGTTCACCCACTTCTCTGCGACGATGCCCACCTGGTATCGCAGCATTTCTCTTTTTACGCTTTTGGGGTGGAATCTGCCACGGCGACGTTATCAGCAGCAGTCTTCAGGGGTACTGAGGTAAGACATACGCGTCGATTTCGTCTTGCGCATTTCTGCCCACCATGTGTTTGATGACATTGTCTCCTCCTGGATGGTGCTTCAGGAATCCATTCGGCACCTTTAAAACCTTTCGATCCAAAAGAACGATTGCCACACCCTCATCTATGAGCTTGTTGATATGCTCAGGGGACAGCACGGTGTCCTTGGCTGAAGAAGCCATTGTGCGTATAGCGTCCAGGCAGAGAAAGAGGAAAGGAGCGTAAAGGGATCCAGTCGAAGGATGCCACCTGTGCAAAGAGGAAAGGAGAGGGGTGAAAGAGCGTGGTTGAAGTGAGGAGGGAGGGCTGTGTACTTGTGTAGTACGGAGGAGGAGAGGGCTGAGAAAATCCTGTAAAGACACATGCTGGAACAGCCCGAGATAACGCGAAAGTCAGATTATTGACATGGCGGATTGGATGCACAACTTGTGCCGTTGCTTCTTGGGGGAGACGCGTGGAGATTGTAGAGTTCGCTGGCCCTGCTGTACTTAGTAGGTCCCCTGCCAAGCTTAGGGGTCCTGGTTGGCAGCCCAGGGCCCCCCGGAGACATGCGGGCGCGACAAGTCCGGAGCGGTATACGGTGAGATGGTGCCTGAAGTGCCCGAGGGAGTGCCTGAGTGCGTACCGTTTTCTCCAGAGTATGGAATAGGCCCTTTTTATTTCACCTACTCCTGACCACTCCAAGCCTCCAATCCTCCACTTCTCCAGGGCTCCCACTCCTCCCGCACAGCGTCGCCAGCCACGAGTTTGCCCTTTGTTTGATTAGCTCGGACATTGAGCCTGTTTAGCCGCCTGTCTTGAGTTCCGATCGCTCAAGAGGTAAGATTGGAATGTGTTGACCTCAGGTGGCGGCAGCACGGCGACAGCACGGCACTCAGGGGCTGAGCGAGCACCAAAAATAATCATCGGCCTCCAGCCTTCAGCCTTCAGCCTTCAGCCTTCAGGATCGTTATCGTGGTGCCACCGTGCCGCCCGCCGTGTTGTTGTTCTCATGCTGCCACCCGTAACCTTCTCGCCTGCTTACTTTTTGCGTCCGTGCCGTCTCAACCAGCGTTCAGAATGCGCCGAGAGCTCCCTGGGGATGGCCAAGCCCGATGCACAGGGAATGTAACGCATACAAGAATCCCTCCGCTCCGGCTGCTGGGCTATTTTTTCCTATGTGGCCGCCCCTCGTAGGTTTGCACGACATTTCTAAGAGAGTGTCAGTCGGTCTCGCCTATGAAGGAATGGGAGCCGGCTTACCTTGAGCGAGACTGCTGCTGGTGGTCCTCGGACCATTGACAGCTGTCCAAAAATAGCTTTCAACCATAGCTATTCAGAATATTATATGCCATATCTCATCAATATTAGCCGCATTATGCTGTAGGAGCCAGTGGATGTATTCTTAGCGTGCTTGTTGACTTTGCAGCATCTTTCAAGGATCTCTTGTTGCACCTCTCCAAGAAAAACAAGCCCTCGTCTGCTGCGCCCAGGTTAAAAAAGGATGGGATAGGCCTGGAGAGTGGCGCAGGGAAGATAGCTCCTACGTAAGCAGGTGGCCGGCATGCTGGCAAATTCTCTGTAGATCACTACAAACATCACGACTCTCCATGCCGTCAATTATCTGCCCGTGCAGATTTTCCGCAACCCAAAGATTTTTTTCTCCCAACAACAGGTGAGTTGAGAGGGCTCGAGGGAAGAATACAGCAGTAGCTCTTGGAAACAAGAAGTGAGAAGCAAGGAGAGGTCAGAGGAGAAAAGGGAGAGGGCACAGAGAGACATCAATACAATGTGTAATCGTATGCTCGATACAGCGTGCCCTTGCCCAGAGTGCTAAAAGACAAACTGTAGATACTCTGCCCAGGGCGAGTTCCACCCTCCCATCTCATCAGCCGCATGTCCCTAGATGCAATTAGGACACGGAATAAAGAAACAGACAGGCCGAGCCAAAACGTCGACCTTAACCCCCTGAGATCTTCGCACGCCCACCACGCTGCAGAACTCCAGAAGAGATCCACGCACCGAGGAGTGTGATCTCTCTGAAGTTGGGACTCTGGCGGACCTTCGTCCGCTCAGTTGAGGAGAAGCACGAGCGATTCTATTCTGGCGCAAGCGGACGTTCGTTGCCTCTTCAAGTCTTGACGGCTTGATCATGCAGATCCAGATATAGAATCTGAAACCACACACTGCGATGCGAATTCGAGATTTGATCGGTACATCGACGTATCGCCGGAGGAGGAGTGCTCGGCCAAGGCCTCTACTCAAAGGACTCCGGCAAGCGACACGGCACTGGATGCTGTATCGTTTCGAGAAAAAATAAATACAAACGCGGAAGAGGATAGGAAGACGAAGAGCTGTGGCAGAACAAGTAGTAGATAGTTGTTGAAGTCGGCTGTTGGGCGAGCTAAGTATTCTCTGCTCAGTAATCATCACCGCCACCCAGTTTTCGGGGTTAGGGTCCGATGATTAATCCGCTGGGACTAATCGTCGGCTCGCTTAGGTGGGCCTCCTTATAGCCTTTCAGTCTTAGTCGGTATAAGCGATTGCGGATCGGAAGCGAGTGCGGATTTTTCGAGTGTATTGGAAATTCTTTTATATTATAGCAATTATTATTATAATTAATTAAAAAATATTTATATAAATAATTAATCTACGAGTATACCTTTTCTCGAAAGATTTAAAGTCGTATTATCAATCGGTAAAAAGCTTGCTGCTAAGCAGCAAGCTAAAGAAAATCTTGAATTTATTGCAGAATTTGCTGCAAAACAACAACGAATCGTCGATAAGATTTAAAGAAAAGAAAGAGACGCTGAATATCGTAAAAGAGTCGATTTACGAATAGCTAACCGCGAGCGTAAAAGGATTGTATTAGAACGCCTTACTGCAAGTCTAATTATTAAAGACGACAATACAATACTCATTTTAATTCTCGATTCGGAAGGGATTTGATAGATGCAACAACCTTTTGAGCGTTAAATTTTACGGCCTCGTAAAAAAGGTATTCTTCGACCAACTCTTTCTTAACTTAAACAAGATATTTTTCTTTTTTTTAGTATTAATATCGATAGCGATAGCTTCAATTCTAATAGTAATAAAAATTCAAACGATTCGTTGCGTAAAGCAAGAGACGAGTCAAATTCTAATGAAAATAGCAATCGATGGTCAGATGTTTCATTAGATGATACGATTTTAAATGTTTCGGAAAAAGATATAATCGCAAATTAATTATTTATATAAATATTTTTTAATTAATTATAATAATAATTGCTATAGTATACAAAAATTTCCAACACATTCGAAAAATCCGCACTCGCTTCCGATCCGCAGTCGCTTATACCGACTAAGACTGAAAGGCTGTAAGGAGGCCCACCTAAGCGAGCCGACGATTAGTATAGGTATATTTATCGGAAGAACCTCTGCTGCAAAATGCATCATTTCGCCCACCTTCCCTTGCGCCCACCAAATTATAAATCTCGGCCCCTCAAATCGACTCAGGAAGTATCTCGAGATATTTGTTGGGTGAGTGATATTTTGATCAGCTGGGCGGTCGTTCGTACGCTGTTATCACGTTTCGCCATCACGTGGATTCGAAACCATGGATGGCATCCACCAGTACCGGCATGTACCCCATCATGGGGCCAGGAAACAGACGCTATCTACGATGATAGTGTGCTTCAGGAAGTCCGGGAACTTTTCATAAACTTCAACCCCGCACCCTTTACCAGAAGACCGAGTCTCAGTCGAGCATCCTCGGGCTTCGATGAATCAGATTTCGATAGACTGCAGTCCACATCCATATGCCTCGGATTTCACAAGGGGACTACAGGTATCACGGCTGGATAGATGGCTTCAGGAAGGGTAAGCTGTCCCAATGATTTCGTTCACATCAAGTTATCAATTTTGGGCTGTCACGACACGTTTCAATATCCAGTTTTTCTTTTGTGCTTCGTAATATGTACAACAAGAAGTTTCCTCACTGAGGCACTCTTTCATGGCCCTCCAAAGAAAGATGGTGACAGCTGGCGGTCAACGCATGCTAGTCTTGCTCTCTGATCTTCTCGTTCAGGTAACCTTGATCGTGTATGCGGAGGTCTTGAAGACAGCTTTCGAGCCTATAAACGGTAAGTATGATGCTCAAATCCGAAATCCCCTATATTCAAAATAGAAAAGAGAGAGATTGCTCACCAGTAAAAGGCTCCGTCCCAGCCTGCAAGCTGGTGACGACGGACGAAGTGGGGACGCCCTCGCTGGAGGTCAGGTAGTCGAAGAAGAGCTTGAGGTCGCCCTTGAACTTATCGATGTTGGAGGGGGGGATGAAGGAGAAGACGGTGGTGTCGCCATTGGTCCCCTTGTAGACCTTCCACTTGACCCCCAGGATGGTCGGGCTCGCGACCGGGACAGGGTTGCCGGATCCGTCGTATTTGGCGGAGATGGGGCCAGCGCCCCCGAAAGTGCCGACCCAGATCATAATCTCATACTTGTTGTTGGCTCCGACCGTGGGAGCGAGCCACAAGTCGTATGCGACGTCCGCCACCATGTTGTTGCCGGTGTACCTGTCTCGAGTTAGCCGAAGTGCCAGCAAGGGGGCCCACATTGAATCGAATTGAATCGACTCCCGAGGGCTTGGGGTTTTTCTTTTCCTTACTTCCAGTTCCAAACGGAGGGAATGGACGAGATGGCCGAGAGCTCCTTGTTGACCTTCTCAAGCGCAACGTTGCTGTACGACTTGACCTGGTTGGACCCACCGGCCCATGACCACGACGTCGACCACGCAAATGAGGGCGGGCTGGCCGAGGAAACTTTTTCTAAAGTCGTACATTGTGAGCCAGACGAGGCTTGCGCCGCGCCCCAGTTGTTGTGGTAGACGGTGTACCCAGCAGTGGGCGCGCTGCCAAAGGCTCCGCACATCTCCTTCGCGCCCTCCGCGGCCTTAGGAGTTGGGTTTGCCATGGCGCTGGTCACCAGAGCCGACACGGCTGCGAGGGAGAACTTCATCGTGATGATGGATTATGATGATGATGGATTATGATAATGAATGGAGTAGGTATCTCTGTCAATGCCTATGATAACGAATAAATGTGACCGTTGCAGAAGAAGCAGAAGCAGGAACCTCACCAGCCTAAGTACCAAAAGAGGGGAGAAGCAAAGACAAACAAGAAAAGAAGAACAAGAAAAGAAAAATAAGAAAAGAAAAACAATATGAAAAAGGGGTAGAGGAGAGCAACGTAACGTTAACGTTAACGTAGCCACTATCCTCAATCAGCACACACACGGCCATCGGGAAGAACCCCGTTGGTGGGAAATGCTACGTAGAGAGCAAGCTCTTGAAACACCGGCATAACAAAACGGCCGGATGGATGGAACCACTTTTATCCATCCATTCGTTCAGTTTTGTCCTTTGCTCTACTCTTCCACCCCTCCTAATAAATGTAATACTAGATATTTTATGGGCCGCTTCCAGGGGGTATAGCAGGGAGTATAGTAAGGGGTAATAGTGGAGTATATATAGCCTTTAAGCTAATCGGAATAAAGAAAATATTAATCAATTAAGATTCTACCGAGTACAGAGTTGGCCCTCTTCAAGCATCGATTATGGCTTGACAAGGCTTCTATTACGATTCGTATAAAGACTCAATATAGCTATTGAGAATAGCGTCTAAAGCCTTCGGTATGATTTCTCCTAACCTTTTTATAAAAAAATTAAATTAAGCGTTACAAATAATAATTTTTTTTTATCAAATACACCTTTTTGTTTAATTCCAAACGTATTTAATCAAATTCAAATTGAAAAAAAAAACAAATCTTCTCGAGTCGGGTCGATGTCACTTTCGATGCAAACAATAACTTAGCTTTCCGTGAACGTTTCTTCGTAAGCTTAAATCTCGTTGGAAAAGGCTTGTTTTCTGGGACGTTCTCGAGGCAAAGTAATAGCTTCTCGAGCAAGTGGTAATCGATATGCAATTATCGCTAGATCTTTCGAAAATCCCTATTTTTTTCTCTCTTTTTTTTTCTCTCTTTTTTTTTTTTTTCCTTCGCGATTCGTCTGTTGTATCCGAGAGATCGAAATGCCGTTCCAATGGCTTCGGCTTTATAATTAATTAACCAAAGTTTCAAAACAAAAGAAAAAATATCGATGAATCAAACGAATCGATGAAAAGGATAATTCCAAAGCCAGTTTCGGAATTTATTATTGTTTTCATGCGGAGTAATCGGTTACCGACCGCATCGAGTTGTTCGAAACATTCAAGGTCGATTGCGAGGTCATCGAATTTATCGAAGAGTATAAAAATACTCTGCTTGATACGTATCTCTTTCCACCCATCCGAAGTATAACTTAATCAAAAGCAGTTTTTAATTCGAATTTGATCGCATCGAGTAATTTCTTTCCAGCGTATACGTCATTTTTTCGATATTTGAAAAGCAGAAGTAGTAGAGAGGCTTCTTTGTAACGAAATCGATAAGTTCAATAACTAATTAGTATTTATTATAGCTATCAATGGATCGGAAACGAATCGAATACGTAAGAATTCTAAGCAAATATATATATATTCAAGCAAGACGAAGAATAAGTAGAGTTTGATAGCATTTATTTCAATTGGCTACCCCCTGGCATCAGCCCACTAAATACCCAGTATCATGTTTATTTGAGGGGAGGAGAGTACAAGTTACGTAGTAGTACCAGGGCTCGATGCTCGAACCAATAAACTTACTATTAAACGATTCAGCCTCTGAAGAAGCATCTTCAAGCAAGCGTTTATTCTGTGCAATACGGAGATTTGAGCAAGGCTTTGAGCCATTCAGAAACTCCTCTGTACCGCTTTACGATTAATGGGGCTCAACTGAGTCCGTCTTTTATTCAGGGGTAGGGAGGGAGGGGTACCTAGTACGGAGTTTGATATGATATGATCTATCACCCAAAACCGGAGAAAAGGCCGTGGAAAGGTGAGATCCACCGTGTTTACGGAGCTGCTATCCTGGCTATCCTATCCCCCTTCTTAAAGCGGGCAGGGGGGCCGAAATTACCTACGGAGTACCTCCCTGGCTCAGCTTACTTAGCGAAAGGGGGTCAATCGCCTGCCGGGAAGAAAAAGCAGGCAGGCAAGCGAGCGCGCTTCTGGGACACGTGTGCCTACCGTAGTTTTTTACCTATCAAATGAAAATTGAATAAAAATGGGCCAAATGACAAATAAGTTTCCGCTGATCGTTAGCCTGACTACGGGGAAAAAAAAATTAAAAGTAAAAGTAAAATTAAAATTCTCGCTCATTTCTCATTTCTCATTATTTTCTCTTTCTGTTTGTTTATTTGTTTGTTTTTTTAATGATTAATTATCAAATCTAAATCCAATGGCCTCTTCCACAGAAAAAAAAAAAAAAAAAAAAAAAAGAAAAGAAAAAAGAAAAATAAGGAGAGGAAAGAGAAGAAAAGAAGAAGAAAAAAAAGGGGGTGTATCCGACTATAACAAAACACTAATCGTTTACACAGACACACATATACACATACCTCCGTAGATATCAAATGCTTACACTATTAACGTGGGGGTCAGCTTTCGAAAATTATCAATCAACTTGAAAATCTTTGCTCGCAAAGATCGAATCAAGAAATACATCAAAACGCTATTGAACCTTTTTAGGAAGGATTTTGAGAACGTATAACTGATTGAAGCAATTTAGACTAAACACTTATACTTTTTCCATTCTCAATACTTACGTAGTACTACTACTACGTCCCAGGCGTAAGTATTACCCCTCGAGGGTAGGGTAACCAGAGGGTTTAAAGTGGAAACGAAACTTTTGAGGCACCCTCGAGGGGTAATACTACTACTTAGGCCTGTACCGTCATACTTACAAAGGCATGAAACACCCTCATCCTCACGCTGTCCAGAAACTGATACACAACCCTACGAAAACTTACTACTAGGATATAGCCAGTGCGCTGACCCGTGATAGTACGTAGTAGTATATACTACGTACTGTAAATCTTTCGGATCTGCACACACGTATCGTAAGAAAATCCGTGCGTCGAACGATAAATATGGTTTCCGTCACGCACCTTCCGATACAGATTTTACTCTCGTTGTGCAACAGGACTTGCTTCTGAATATACAGTACGTAGTACGTACGTAGTAGTAGTTGGTCGTGCTGCGAAGCATTTCGAAAGCCTTTTCGCAATAACATTCGGGTTTGCCATCTAAAGCAAAGCTATCCATGATTTAACCTTCGTTGATACACAGAGAGATGATGCCGAATAAGCCGATGGTCAAACGTCGCAGCGAAAGGAGCGGCGTTGAGGTACGTAGCATTTTTATGGTTATTATAAGAGGTAGTCGTCGGTTTCCTTAACTTTAATTCGAAAAATTGACCGACTTGCCGCAGCCAGGTCGGGATTTTTTACAGGTTAAATTCAAGGTGACCGACGGTTAAAGAAACGCGTGGTCGCGAAGAATCGCGGTTTTACGATTTTCGCCTCACAGCTGCTGCGGGCACTATACTCTTCAAAAGAAACAGGCTGCTTGAAAAGAGAGTGCGGAATTCCTAACATAAGAATCTTGCTCTACATTCAAGGTCAAGCTGGAAGGTTAGGTTGAGACAAAAAGCCGAAATATTCATATATATATATATATATATATATATCTATTTATCAAGCACGCACAGATTGGATTATCTTCCCGCGTTACAAGAGTTACCTTGCTTCCAGCAGAAAAGAAAAAGAGTGCCAGTGTTAGAACTAAGACCCTCAGTCCATTGTCAATTTGAGACTAACACTTTTGGTAACCCATGGGGCTAAGCGAAAGTCGCGGTCAGCTTAGCCAGGTTAGTCAAATAGATGAGGCCATGAAACTTCCGTTTACTATTCTCCATTTGTATGGATAGCTATATAAGTAGCTCCGGTATCACTTACCTAAAAGCATGCAAAATCAATTAAATCCCCTCAAACAACTGAAATCCGTTTTCACCCTTGCATCACACCCCCTTGTGATACCAATAGTAACAGATGCGAAGAAAAGGAAGTTCAATTGGGAAGGGTAGTAATAGGTAAAAGCGGTTTCCAATTAACGAGTTGGTCCTTTTCTTGCGATATCAAGCTGGAAAACCCAAAAATCCCAGCCTTCGCCTCTCGATACGGAAAGCAATCATTTCTCATTAACGCTACTCACTCCTCGGTTGCTCAAATACTTATTTTCCTGAAATATCTCCCCGACTTGCTTTCAAAATAGTCGGAATGGCTAATCGCTCAAAGAGGTACTTGTCCATACTCCCGATCTACAAAATCCCGCTTTTATGATCTCTAATATGCTACCCTTATCGTGTATTCTTCTATCTGAGATATAAATTATAGTAAATGTTTGATGTATCCGTATTGGAATTTCATCCGTTCAAAAGAGATCCAATCAAAAAAACTACAGAAACCCCCCCTCCCCCCCCTCCCCCTCCAAACTGCCTCCTTCTCCCCTCCTTCCTGTCTTCTCTTCCTTCC